ACCAGTCACTTGCTAGGGTCCACCAGTCACTTGCTAGGGTCCACCAGTCACTTGCTAGGGTCCACCAGTCACTTGCTAGGGTCCACCAGTCACTTCCTAGGGTCCACCAGTCACTTGCTAGGGTCCATCAGTCACTTGTAGGGTCCACCAGTCACTTGCTAGGGTCCACCAGTCACTTGCTAGGGTCCATCAGTCACTTGCTAGGGTCCACTCAGTCACTTGCTAGGGTCCACCAGTCACTTGCTAGGTCCAACATCACTTGCTAGGGTCCAGCAGTCACTTGCTAGGGTCCACCAGTCACTTGCTAGGGTCCACCAGTCACTTGCTAGGGTCCATCAGTCACTTGCCAGGGTCCATCAGTCACTTGCTAGGGTCCACCGGTCACTTGCTAGGGTCCACCAATCACTTGCTAGGGTCCATCAGTCACTTGCTAGGGTTCACCAGTCACTTCCTAGGGTCCACCAGTCACTTGCTAGGGTCCATCCCGTCACTTGCTAGGTCCACCAGTCACTTGCTAGGGTCCACCAGTCACTTCCTAGGGTCCATCAGTCACTTGCTAGGGTCCATCAGTCACTTGCTAGGGTCCACCGGTCACTTGCTAGGGTCCACCAGTCACTTGCTAGGGTCCAGCAGTCACTTGCTAGGTCCACCAGTCACTTGCTAGGGTCCACCAGTCACTTGCTAGGGTCCACCAGTCACTTGCTAGGGTCCATCAGTCACTTGCTAGGGTCCACCGCAGTCCCCTTGCTAGGGGTCCACCAGTCACTTGCTAGGGTCACCAGTCACTTGCTAGGGTCCACCAGTCACTTGCTAGGGTCCCATCAAGTCACTTGCTAGGGTCCACCAGTCACTTGCTAGGATCCACCAGTCACTTGCTAGGGTCCAGCAGTCACTTGCTAGGGTCCACCAGTCACTTGCTAGGGCCCAGCAGTCACTTGCTAGGCTCCAGCAGTCACTTGCTAGGGCCCACAAGTCACTTGCTAAGGTCAAACATCACTCGCTAGGGTCCAGCAGTCACTTGCTAGGCTCAAACAGTCACTTGCTAGGGTCCACCAGTCACTTGCTAGGGTCCACCAGTCACTTGCTAGGGTCCACCAGTCACTTGCTAGGGTCCACCAGTCACTTGCTAGGGTCTAGCAGTCACTTGCTAGGGTACAGGACTCACTTGCTAGGGTCCAGCAGTCACTTGCTAAGGTCCACCAGTCACTTGCTAGGGTCCACCAGTCACTTGCTAGGGTCCACCAGTCACTTGCTTGGGTCCAACATCACTTGTTAATGTCCACCCGTCAATTGCTAGGGTCCACCAGTCACTTGCTAGAGTCCACCAGTCACTTGCTAGGGTCCACCAGTCACTTCCTAGGATAAACCAGCCACTTCCTTGGGCATACCAGTCACTTGCTAGGGTCCAGCAGGCACTTCCTAGGGTCCACGAGTCACTTGCTAGGGTCCAGCAGTCACTTGCTAAGGTCCACCAGTCACTTGCTAGGGCCCACCAGTCACTTGCTAGGGTCCACCAGTCACTTGCTAGGGTCTCACATCACTTGCTTAAGTCCACCAGTCAATGCTAGGGTCCACCCGTCACTTGCTAGGGTCACCAGGTCACTTGCTAGGTCCAACAGTCACTTGCTAGGGTCCACCAGCCCCTTGCCCAGGTCCAGCAGTCACTTCTAGGGTCCACCAGTCACTTGCTAGGGTCCACAGTTCACTTGCTAGGTCACACAGGTCACTTCCTAGGATCCACCAGTTACTTCCTAGGCTCCACCAGTCACTTGCTAGGGCCCACAAGTCACTTTCTAAGGTCCAACATCACTTGTTAGGGTCCAGCAGTCACTTGCTAGGGTCCACCAATCACTTGCTAGGGTCCACCAGTCACTTGCTAGGGTCCACCAGTCACTTGGTAGGGTCGACTAGTCACTTGCTAGGGTCCAACATCACTTGCTAGGGTCCACCAGTCACTTGCTAGGGTCCACCAGTCACTTGCTATGGTCCAGCAGTCACTTGCTAGGGTCCAGTAGTCACTTGCTAGGGTCCACCAGTCACTTGCTAGGCTCCAACAGTCACTTGCTAGGGTCCACCAGTCACTTGCTATGGTCCAGCAGCCACTTGCTAGGGTCCATCAGCCACTTGCTAGGGTCCACCAGTCACTTGCTAGGGTCCACAGTCACTTGCTAGGGTCCACCAGTCACTTGCTAGGGTCCAACAGTCACTTGCTAGGGTCCAACATCACTTACTACGGTACAGCAGTCACTTGCTAAGGTCCAGCAGTCACTTGCTAGGGTCCAGCAGTCACTTGCTAGGGTCCAGCAGTCACTTGCTAAGGTCCAGCAGTCACTTGCTAGGGTCCAGCAGTCACTTGCTAGGGTCCACCAGTCACTTGCTAGGGTCCAACAGTCACTTGCTAGGGTCCAACATCAATTACTATGGTCCACCAGTCACTTGCTAGGGTCCACCAGTCACTTGCTAGGGTCCACCATCACTTGCTAGGGTCCACCAGTCACTTGCTAGGGTCCAGCAGTCACTTGCTTGGGTCCACCAGTCACTTGCTAGGGTCCAACATCACTTGCTAGGGTCCACCAGTCACTTGCTAGGGTCACCAGTCACTTCCTTGGGTCCAACATCACATACTATGGTCCACCAGTCACTTGCTATGGTCCACCAGTCACTTGCTAGGGTCCACCAGCCACTTGCTAGGGTCCACCAGTCACTTGCTAGGGTCCAACAGTCACTTGCTAGGGTCCAACATCACTTACTAGGGTACAGCAGTCACTTGCTACGGTCCAGCAGTCACTTGCTAGGGTCCAGCAGTCACTTGCTAGGGTCCAGCAGTCACTTGCTAAGGTCCAGCAGTCACTTGCTAGGGTCCAGCAGTCACTTGCTAGGGTCCACCAGTCACTTGCTAGGGTCCAACAGTCACTTGCTAGGGTCCAACATCAATTACTATGGTCCACCAGTCACTTGCTAGGGTCCACCAGTCACTTGCTAGGGTCCTACATCACTTGCTAGGGTCCACCAGTCACTTGCTAGGGTCGAGCAGTCACTTGCTTGGGTCCACCAGTCACTTGCTAGGGTCCAACATCACTTGCTAGGGTCCACCAGTCACTTGCTAGGGTCACCAGTCACTTCCTTGGGTCCAACATCACTTACTATGGTCCACCAGTCACTTGCTATGGTCCACCAGTCACTTGCTAGGGTCCACCAGCCACTTGCTAGGGTTCACCAGTCATTTGCTAGGGTCGAGCATTCACTTACTAAGGTACAGCAGTCACTTGCTAGGGTCACCAGTCACTTGCTTGGGTCCAACATCACTTACTAGGGTCCACCAGTCACTTGCTAGGGTCCACCAGTCACTTGCTAGGGTTCACCAGTCAATTGCTAGGGTCGAGCATTCACTTACTAAGGTACAGCAGTCACTTGCTAAGGTCCAGCAGTCACTTGCTAGGGTCCAGCAGTCACTTGCTAGGGTCCACCAGTCACTTGCTAGGGTCCAACATCACTTGCTAGGGTCCCGCAGTCACTTGCTAGGGTCCACCAGTAACTTGCTAGGGTCCAGCAGTCCCTTGCTAGGGTCCATCAGTCACTTGCTAGGGTACAACAGTCACTTACTAAGGTCCACCAGTCACTTGCTAGGGTCCAACATCACTTGCTAACTTCCACCAGTCACTTGCTTGGGTCCAACATCACTTGCTAGGGTCCAACATCACTTGCTAGGGTCCAACATCACTTGCTAGGGTCCACCAGTCACTTGCTAAGGTCCACCAGTCACTTGCTAAGGTCCACCAGTCACTTGCTAGGGTCCACCAGTCACTTGCTAGGGTCCACCAGCCACTTGCTAGGGTTCACCAGTCATTTGCTAGGGTCGAGCATTCACTTACTAAGGTACAGCAGTCACTTGCTAGGGTCACCAGTCACTTGCTTGGGTCCAACATCACTTACTAGGGTCCACCAGTCACTTGCTAGGGTCCACCAGTCACTTGCTAGGGTTCACCAGTCAATTGCTAGGGTCGAGCATTCACTTACTAAGGTGCAGCAGTCACTTGCTAAGGTCTAGCAGTCACTTGCTAGGGTCCAGCAGTCACTTGCTAGGGTCCACCAGTCACTTGCTAGGGTCCAACATCACTTGCTAGGGTCCCGCAGTCACTTGCTAGGGTCCACCAGTAACTTGTTAGGGTTCAGCAGTCCCTTGCTAGGGTCCATCAGTCACTTGCTAGGGTACAACAGTCACTTACTAAGGTCCACCAGTCACTTGCTTGGGTCCAACATCACTTGCTAGGGTCCAACATCACTTGCTAACTTCCACCAGACACTTGCTTGGGTCCAACATCACTTGCTAGGGTCCACCAGTCACTTGCTAAGGTCCACCAGTCACTTGCTAAGGTCCACCAGTCACTTGCTAGGGTCCACCAGTCACTTGCTAGGGTCCACCAGTCACTTGCTAGGGTCCACCAGTCACTTGCTAAGGTCCACCAGTCACTTGCTAAGGTCCACCAGTCACTTGCTAGGGTCCACCAGTCACTTGCTAAGGTCCACCAGTCACTTGCTAAGGTCCACCAGTCAGTTGCTAGGGTCCACCAGTCACTTGCTAGGGTCCACCAGTCACTTGCTAGGGTCCACCAGTCACTTGCTAGGGTCCACCAGTCACTTGCTAAGGTCCACCAGTCACTTCACTTGCTACAGTGTCCAAGACACTTGCTTAGGTACAGTATTGCTAATTCCAATAGTCACTTTGTCATAATCAATGCAATATCAATTGAAGGGACCGAAAACAGAGTGACTTCCCTAATTTGTCAAAGCCATCCTTCTCAAGTCGCCAGAATCAAAGACGTCATTGCTCATTCCATTAAAAATTTCCTGCTGGCCCACCGAAATATTGAGTGAGTTCCAATTTTTTTTTTTTGGGGGTCAAGTGACATTATGCCCTCCCCTTTGGTAATAAATCCTCCATCTTCTGATTCAGTGTGTTTTGGCATATGCAAGAATTAAATTTTTTTGCCGGGGGATGGGCGGAAGCTAATGCTGTGAATCTTTTCAATGTTATTTTGGTAATATTTTATCAGTATATTCATGGTATATATTGTCCGGCTTGAAATATTGAGTGTGAAACATTTGTGACTTAATTAAAAAGGCTCGAAATATTTAAAAAAATAAGGAAACATTACGATATTTTTTTTTCACTTAATAAATAAACATATAGATTTGCTCAGTTTTCCCGAGGAGAGAGAGACAGAGATGAGAGAGAGAGAGAGAGAGAGAGAGAGAGAGAGAGAGAGAGAGAAGAGAGAGAGAGAGAGAGAGAGAGGAGAGTTAAGAGAAGAGAGAGAGAGATGATAGAAAGAGAGTAGAGAGAGAGAGTAAGAGAGAGAGAGAAGAGAGAGAATGAGAGAGAGAGAGAGAGAGAGAGAGAGAGAGAGAGAGAGAGAGATCAGAGAGACGAGAGAGAGATGAGAGAGAGAGAGAGAGAGAGAGAGAGAGAGAGAGAGAGAGAGAGAGAGAGATGAGAAGAAAGAGAGAGAGAGAGAGAAAGAGAGAGAGAGAGAGAGAGAGAGAGAGATATGACTATGAAATATAAAATACTTGTTTACGCTTGCAGTTCTTGGCGGTGATGACCGCCCTGGTGGTGCTGACTACCCTCTTGGTGGGGTCGTCCCTCGCTGACCCTGAACCCTTGGCCTTGGCCCTGGCCCTCCCAGACCCGGCCGCTGACCCTGTAGCAGATCCTGCCGCTGACCCTGCTGCTGATCCTGCCGCTGACCCTTCCGCTGACCCTTCCGCTGACCCCTATTACCGCAGATTCGGCCATTATGGCTACGGTCGTCATCGGCACTTCGGTCACCGCTACCCTGGTTATTACGGTGGCTATGGCGGCTATGGTGGTTATGGCGGTTATGGCGGTTATGGTGGTTATGGCGGTTATCCCTACTCTGGCTATGGCGGTTATGGCGGTTATGGTTATCCTTATGGTGGCGGCTTTGGTTTTTACATAGGATAATTTACGAGAGGCACCAGTAACAGCCTAACCTTACCTTGGTGACCCACCTTAACCTTAATGACCTTGATTATCGTGATGACCTTCACTTCTTTCTGGTAACTTTACTGTATCTTAAAACCTGTTGGTGAAGTCAACCTGATCCTTTAAACCTGTGGCTGAAGTTATGATGAAGCTTCGTACAGAGCGAAACATGCCTTGGGGAAGATCTAAACAAAGCGAAACGTTGTCCCAATGAAACCTAGCTCTGCAGCCCTGAGTCTTAAGTCTTAGGAGTTCTCTGACACACCTAAGTCTGTGGTCATAACCTTCAAGACCTCACTTAATTGAAACTTGGCTTTAAAAGACCGCAATTTCGAAAACGATAGAATCTAAATATTGAGTCCCATCCTCATCCTCATCATCCTGGTGGCACCAATACCCATCAGGGTCGTACAGTGCCTGAGAAATGGGAAATAATCAGGCTTGACTCGAGGAAGTAACAGCAAGCCCTTAACATGCATGCAGAACAACTCACCTTGACGGGACCTCCAAGAACTCGACGATGTTCTGTCGAGTTTTCACTTACAAAACTACAGAAGGCAGTCTACATCCTCGTCTAAACAATGTCTTGTTTGTGGCCGAATTATTCTCAAGTCTAACTACCATCCCCCGGCAGTTAGCAAAGGAGAGAGTGTTTGTGTGTGAACAATAAATTACAAGACTATTCCAAAGGCATGTTTGTTTTATTTTCTTTCCCTGTGGCACACATCACTAAGGCTAAGCCACTAGCATGAACAGTAAGTAACATTCCCTGGGACACACATCAGTAAGTCTAAGCCACAAGCCACTAGCATCAACAGATAACAATATCAACCCCAGGGGCACACATCAGTAAGTCTAAGCCACAAGCCACTAACATCAGCAGTTAACAATATCAACCCCAGGGGCACACATCGGTAAGTCTAAGCCACAAGCCACTAGCATCAAAAATTAACAATATTAATCCCAGGGGCACATATCGGTAAGTCTAAGCCACAAGCCACTAGCATCAACAATTAACAATATCAATCCCAGGGGCATACATCAGTAAGTCTAAGCCACAAGCCACTAGCATCAGCAGTTAACAATATCAACCCCAGGGGCGCACATCAGTAAGTCTAAGTCACAAGCCACTAGCATCAACAATTAACAATATTAATCCCAGGGGCACATATCGATAAGTCTAAGCCACAAGCCACTAGCATCAGCAGTAAACAGTATCAACCCCCAGGGCACACATCAGTAAGACTAAGCCACTAGTATTAACGGTAAACAATATCGGTACGAGAACAAAGTCCTGGGGAACGCTAAAGGGCAAAGGAAACTGCTCAGTTACACTATCATAGACAACTACAGCAACTGGAACTAGTCAGTCTACCTTCTCATCCACTACCTATACAAGTAAAGTCGTTGAGTAGACGCCAGCACACACACACACACACACACACACACACACACACACACACACACACACACACACACACACACACACACACACACACACTCCAAAAAGCTGTTATATGAAACTTTGTTATAAAAAAAATCTGTTCAGGTGGCTGGAAAGTTTCTAACTTGACTCCGTTAATTTGAAAAAAAACATTTTTTCAACTTTGATTTAACTAAATAATGACCACGCAAAACAGGATAATACAAAACTATTGATATACAACAGTAATTTCTCACAACCACTAGTGATCAAAAGTGATACTTTAAGCGTCTGTTATTAAATAATTCGTAAGTTCACCTCCAGAAGGGCAGGTCCGACAAGGCCAGTAACTTTTTATTTATTTATTTTTTTGCCTGACAAGATATATGCGAGAGACTTGGTAGTGTTAGCTTGGCAATAGGTATGGTAGTGCCATCTTTTTGACTAGGTATGGTAGTGCCATCTTTTTGACTAGGTATGATAGTGCCATCTTTTGACTAGGTATGGTAGTGCCATCTTTTTGATTAGGTATGGTAGTGCCATCTTTTTGATTAGGTATGGTAGTGCCATCTTTTTGACTAGGTATGGTAGTGCCATCTTTTTGACTAGTTATGGTAGTGCCATCTTTTGAACTGGCTATGATAGTGTGATCTTTGGTTACCTTGAAAGTCCTGATCACAGGCTTTGCCTGACTCCTTATCCTGGTCGTGGTGGTGTTGACCTTGTCGCTTGATGTTGACCTCTTGCTAGTTTCGTGACTTGGTCAGTCAGGCTGTTGGTTCTGGCGACACGCAGTCCAGCTTACACACCTGTTGAATAAATGGGTGAATGGATGAAGTTGTCTTTAATACTATGAAGCTGATCTCTTCTCCAGGCTGAGGGACTGACCACCTCAAAACTACTTCTTTGAGGCTGATGGACTGATCTCATAGTCTTCACTTCTGCTGTCTCTGAAGTGAAACTTTCCGGAAATAACAGCATCTAACTGATGCACATGTGTCTTATACGTCAACCTGAAGACGGTGTTGGAAGGGCTTGGATCTTCTGTTTGCTTAACCCCGGTTCCAGAGAGGATGTATTTTGCGCTGTTTATCGATGTCTGTCACGCCTCTGAGTTACCGGTTAAATCATTACCTCATCTCTTGAACATCTGTCCTTCATGGGAGGGTGCCATCATGCTGGTGAAGCTCTCTTGACCCAAGGAACTACAACTATCCTCTCCAGCCTTACAACAACCTAGATTACCTTCCCGGTTCAGCGAGTGTTGCAAGAACCTCACAGCTCGGCGGTTCAAGACACGCCAACAAACACTTAGGCGTGTATTATTATGAAAGCGCTTTGGTTCATTGTTGCGGTATGGAATAAACAAGGTCCAAACCTGGTCAAAGCTACGTACCAGATGCCACCTTACAAGTTTAACGTGTCTCTGTGAGTTTAATAATGTATAAACTTGAATACTTCCTTAAGCAGGTTCCTCCTCCCTGATACAGTCACCTAAGGCTTCAGAAACAGTCTTGAGTAAGGACTAACGATGAAAATATATATCCTGGATTATAAACATATTCAATATTTTTTTTTATTAACACACGGGCCGTCTCCCACCGTCTCAGTGATTCCCCCCCCCCCCAAAAAAAAAAAAAAAAAGAAAAGAAGAAACACTTTTATTAACATTATTCACTCCATCGCTGTCTTACCAGAGGCGAGAAACTGTACTTTCCAAATCACATAGCACTGAACTTACCGTGAGAAAAATCTGAATGATTTGGCGAATTTGCTTTATTCCCACAAATGTCAATGTTGAAATTAGTGTCCAAACGCACTTAAGCAAAATATATATATATATATATATTTTACTCCTTTAAGACACTTAAATGCGAACCAGGTTTTTCAAGATACAAGATTTTGCTTGTGTGGTTGGAGTCAGAAGGCTGAAGTCTCGCATGCGGGTATATAAGGAACTGCATCTCGAGTTCAGACTGACTAACCGAATCGGAGTCCAGCACCGGCAGGCCACAGTGACAGCTGCTACTCTAGTCTGACAGGAGTCCATCGACAACACCATTTTCATACGTGTCCTTAGACACCATCACTGAACGTGTCGTCATGAAGACCGTGTTAGGTTTTTTCCTGTGAAATAAAATAACGGTAAAACTGAATACATCAGCAGTATTCGGCTACCCTTATTTTATACGACAGATACGTACCGGGATTAAAGGAGTTGAGGGTAATTCTGCAATCATAATTACTATCGCATTTGCTTTGTCTGCTTTCGAAAGGTGAAATCTAGGATCTCTCCTTAATTCATGGTATTACTTAACAGATATTTGAGGACAATTGTGTTGCAGAAGTCTGACCTTTGCTCACCTTACGAAAACAGACAAAGCAAATGCGATAATATTTATGGACTAGGTAGATTACAGGGGGATAATAAACATGATATTAGGAGACAGGGAAACTCACGCGCCTCTTAAGTAGCAGTGGCTGCCACAATGGAGCGCCCTGGCCACATCGCTACTCTTAATACCATCTTGGCCGCACATTACAAAATTAATAGAAGAAATCTCGATATATCTACTGAAACTGCTACCACCGGTTTTGGCAGAGACACGAATGAAGCCGTTATGAATACAGACCCCGTAAGTCACAGCCAACAGGCAATCCAGTTGCGGGAATGCAGCGCCTGAGGGGGAAGTATCGTGTAAAACTAATGGAACATTCAAATGCGACCATCCAAATGCTGGGGACTCTTCGCTGAAGTAAGTATTCCATTATCAGCAAATATTTCCATGCATAGATGCGCTATAAATGGCTACATAAGGCACAGTGGTAAGGAGGGGAAGCTGCACTGCGTTCCACTTGAAGGTGATTCATGTTGGAGGACCAACAGCAAGCAACACCACTATCACAAACAACAGTGGGCAACACCACTACCACAAACAATAGCAGGCAATACCACTACCACAAACAACAGCAGGCAACAACACTACCACAAACAACAGCAGGCAACACCACTGCCACCCAGGTAAACGTGTTGCACAAACCACTGACTTGCTTCGCCTTAAGCATTTTCAAACTCCCTCTCAGACTTCTACTTTTTTGTCCTAACCTCAAACACTTAGATAATACACGACAGTCTTTAACCTACATATAAGCAGAAAGTTCTTCTCAGCAGATAGTTTGTGTGGATCCAGAATTTGAGTCAATCTTCATCCCTGGTCCAGAATTTGAGTGCATCTCCTTTCTTGAATCCAGAAGTTGAATGCATCTTATTCCCCTGGATCCAGAATTTAAGTGCATCTCCACTCCTGGATCCAGAATTTAGGTGCATCTCCTTTCCTGGATCCAGAATTTAGGTGCATCTCCTTTCCTGGTTCCAGAATTTAAGTGCATCTCCTTTCCTGGATCCAGAATTTAAGTGCATCTCCTTTCCTGGATCCAGAATTTAGGTGCATCTCCTTTCCTGGATCCAGAATTTAGGTGCATCTCCTTACAACAAAGTTTCATTTAGACTCCATGACGAGGTCTCAATAAGGAATTTCACAGTTGACCTAGAGACTGTTGACTGGCCTACAGAATTCTCCAAGGCCAATGGTATTGATGACTGGACAGACATTTTTGTTACCAAATTATTTAGACTATACAACAAACATTGTCCTATAAAAACGAAACAGATCACGAATAAACGGCTTGGTTGCCCATGGCTAACCATCAGCATTCTGAAATCCATAGATAAGAAACACCAGTATGAAAAGCAATAGACAGGGCTTAATACACAAAAATATTCTTAAACACTGTTCATCAGTTCTCACCAAAGTAATAAAGAAAGCCAAACAACTATACTACTTCAGCAGATTCACAGACACTAGAGGAGATATAAAAAAGACCTGGAAAACATTCTCCCAGATTCTAGGGACCCACAAACTGAAAAAACAAGAATATTGTCCTAACTAAACCTAATGAAGCACCACTACATCCCACTGACACAGCTAACAAGATAAACAACTTCTTCTCAACCATAGGATCTAATCTCGCCAACAAAATCCCACATACCAATGCCCATGCCGGGGACTACCTAGATGGGAATTTCCCAAATTACTGCTATCTTGTCCCAACTGAGCCCACGGAAGTCACCGAGATTATAAAGTCACTTAAAAATAACTCAGGGAATCTGCCTCACGTCCCACCATTATTGTACAAGCGAGCGGCCCATGTCCTTTCTCATACTATTTCATTACTTTTTAACAAGTCACCAGAAACTAGCACCTTCCCGAAACTACTCAAGACAGCAAGGGTTACACCAATACATAAAGGTGGTGACCCTACAGATTTAAACAACTATGGGCCAATATCAAACTTACCATTGCTATACAAAAACTTTGAGAAACTCGTGCACAGGAGACTATATTCATTTATAACAACACAAAACATACTCAACCCCTGCCAATTTGGATTCAGGAAAAATAAAAGCACTAATGATACAATTATAAAAATGCTAGATCTGCTTTACACAGCATTGGAAAATAAGGAATATCCGCTAGGAATTTTTATTGACCTAAGAAAAGCTTTTGACACAGTAGACCACGGCATCCTACTCCACAAACTTGACCATTATGGTATAAGAGGCCATGCATTTGCATATTTCAAATCCTACCTTACTAATAGGTATCAGTATGTCACCATTAAAGACACGGCATCATCAACACGTCCACTTGATACTGGAGTTCCGCAGGGAAGTGTCCTGGGTCCCCTGCTCTTCCTCATATACATCAAAGATCTTCCAAACGTATCCTAACACCTGAACCCCATTCTCTTTGCTGACGACACGACTTATGTTATCTCTCACCCTAATCTTGCCACCCTCAACACCATTGTTAACGAGGAGCTGCTCAAAATATCGACTTGGATGACAGCCAATAAACTTACGCTTATTATGTTTGGTAGCAGAGCAGGAGTTGCGCAAATTAACATTAAGATCGACAACACTCTAATTGCCAGACATAATAAGGGCAAATTCCTAGGCCTATACCTCGACAACAACCTGAATTTCAGCACCCATATCCAATACATAACCAAAAAAGTATCCAAAACGGTTGGGATCCTCTCCAAGATACAATTCTATGTGCTGCAAAATGCCCTTCTCACACTATACCACTCACTTATTTATCCATACCTCACCTATGCTATTTGTGCTTGGGGATCAACTGCAGCAACACACCTAAAGCCAATAATAACCCAACAGAAAGCCGCAATAAGAATAATCACTAAATCCCATCCCTGGCAACACCCCCCCCCACTCTTCATAGATCTAAACTTACTCCCTGTTCAGTACATCCACACTTACTACTGTGCAATCTACATCTACAGGACCTTAAATTCCAATATTAACCTTGACCTAAAACGCCTTCTTGATAGTTGTGACAGAACCCACAGGCATAACACTAGACACAAACATCTCTATGATATTCCCCGTGTCCGACTAAACTTTTACAAAAATTCAATGTATGTCAAAGGCCCTAAAATCTGGAACACCCTACCTGAAAACTCTAGAACTGCAAACACATTCATCACCTTCAAAACTACCATTAGGAAACATCTTATCTCTCTGATACACCCCTGTCAACTAATTACATGAATATCACCTGGTGGTTCACACTTACACTCACTCACGCATTTGACCATAAACACAGAAATATCAATCTTAATCTTAAAATAATGAATCCTAACTAGCCATAAGTTGGCCTGTGACACTCCAATACTGAAACTATGTATTGTGCCAAAACAAAAGCATTCACATTGCTAAACTCACAAACTAGTATTTAGTCACTTAGCCATAATACCAACTTACCTCATAATTTCTAATATTTTAAAGTTAAGAATTAATCTAAGTCTGCCCGAAATGCCTAGCCATGCTAGGTGTTCTAGTGGTACACTCTGTAATTAGTATTTTACTACATGTAAACCACACAATAACCAAATTCTGTAAACTCAGCATTGTAATCCTTATAGAGAATAAACTTAATTGATTGATTGATTGATTCTATCTGTATGAAGAAACGGTAGTGGAGTTTTCCCCGTCATTAAAGAGTTCGTGCATCTTCATGAAGTGGTCACCTAGAAGTCCATCTATACGAGTTCACTACCTAGAAGTCCATCTATACGAGTTCACTACCTAGAAGTCCATCTATACGAGTTCACTCCAGATCCATCTATACGAGTTCACTACGCTTCCCCACGATTCTCGAGGCGGAACGTTTCCTTAACTAATGTCTTGATCAGTACATACCTATCTCTTAGCCACAGCTTGATGGTATCGCCTTACTCCTTGTGCTCTGAGGGAAATGAAGAAAGTGAAGAGATTACTCCCTTAATGTAATCATTGTCTTTACTCAGTTTACTCTGTCCTTGAAGTGAGCCTCCTGAGCCCTGGGGACTCCTGCGCAATAGGTTCCCGCTGAAGGTCCCCGGGTAATACCCTGAAGGATGCAGGGAATTGACAAGACTTGTCACGCTTCTACAACAACCTAATGAGTTAGACATACTTGCAACATCTGAGTATCTTCGTTCTGTAGACATTTCGCGTACCAGTGGCTATGTCAGTGCAATACTAAAGACTGAAGAGGTGGAGAATAGGGTAATCAGTCCCTCAGCCTAGGAGCAGGTGTTCAGTACTTGAAGAATCAGTAACATAGTCTTGAAGAGTTAAGATTGTGGTACTGAATACCTGCTCCTAGACTGAGGGACTGATTACTTACTCAGTCTCCTGTATCGTATTCATAAAGCCAGTGGTTGGCGGAATGTCTACAGAAGATACCCAGACGTTGCACGTCTCTAATTCATCATCTTGTCGGTATTGTACAACATCGATATACAACAACAACAACAACAACATACACAAAAAGTAAACATCACGCCCTAGCCAAAAAAAAAAGAAGCAAATAACAACATATGGCAATTCAGTGACACATACACAGTGGAATAACAATTCCGACTAGTGGGAATCAAGACTTGTGCAACACTAGGAATATTGATCCTTAATTTAGATTTCCGTTGTTGCACATATGCCTTTTGTTGCATATGTGTCTTGCACTTCAAGACACATAATTTGTAATGTGTGTACTAAATTGGATTGTACGAACACAGATTGTACGAATAAAAACAATACAAACCATACCACGGACGGGGTTAGAACCCACGATCAAAGAGTTTCAAAACTCCAGACCGTCGCGTTAGGACTGATGCATCCCTTAGTGGCGAAACATCTCCTTCGATAAACATCTTGATTGTACGTATGGGTTTTCTTCCCATAATAAACTCGACGTTTCTATCACAGTGTGCGAAACTGTCCCCGTGGAAATTGCTCACCATTTTCTGCCACAAGCTCTCATCAACGCATCTCCTGACCTTCTAATGTAAAGTTGCCAAGCCAGTCTTGTGTAACTTTCCTAATAATAAAAAATATATATATATATATAAAAATATTTATATAATATATATATATATATATATATATATATTATATATATATATATATATATATATATATATATATATAATAATATAATTAAGTGATCTATATATTTTGCTTTATGTAACTTAATTTTACTAAGAAAATCGAAGAATTCTTTTGTTTTTGTCCGTAGAGAATCAGGATTAGCCAGTTTTTGTTTTTCATAAACGGATAAGAAGCACCAGCTATGCGGAGGTAAGAGGCGGAGTTAGATGCGAGCAACACTCGCTGGTATATAAAGACATGAACATCGTCATTTCAGGACAGTCAACGTCAAGCAGCCGCCTTTACTATCATTCTCCAAGCAAAATGAAAATCGTAAGTAATTGTGTACCTCTCGTGTCCATCCTCACACACTATCATTGTGTTGAAGGGGATGCCAGTAGACCTGCTGCAGTGCTCCTCCAGTCTTGCGTTCTAAAAGCCATGTACCCGTACTGGTCACGCAGCGACTGGGAAATGGCAGGTAGTCTGGTTGAATCCTAAGAAGCCGATTTGCAATTGTTTCAGTCAAGACCTCTTCACCTGGAGTCCCTCCAGGGAGGTTCCTTGACGCTGGTGAGGGGCTCTTGATCTAGAGAACTGGATTTTAATTGAGCCTGAATGCCTTTCATTCCCCCCCCTCTCCACAGGCACTGTATAATTCCTACTGGTTTAGGGCTCACCCGTGATAATAATTCACCAGGAACAGGTTACATACCACTGTACAAATATCTCGTTCGAGCCTTCATCTGACTGAACGTTATTTTCGTTATTTCGCTGTCTTTATTTATTTATTTATTTATTTATTTGCTTATCCCACTACTATATTCTAATTTGTAAAGTTCTGACGTACTGAAATTACTTGTTTAACTGCCTCGTTTTACCTTTTTTATGTAAGATTCGTCCAGTTAAAAAGAAGTGATTTGAAGCTGTCATTTACAATACTGAAAGAAGTGAATTTTTCATCGTAAGAAGAGAGTTATGTTGAATTGCAAGATTTAAAGTGTTAAAAGTGATTGACTCTGTTTTTTAAGACTTTGAAGCTTCTGACAGCTATGGTGACAGTTTGCGGCTGTCATTACCAACTTTATAAATAAGATGAGAGTAAGACACATGTGCAACATCTGGGTATCTTTATTGTAGACGTTTCGCCATCCAGTGGCTTTATCAATACAAATTCTAGGACATAACTTGAAGACAGTAGAACTATGTACAGAAGATGAGGTAATCAGTCCCTCAACCTAGGAGTAGGTGCGAAGAGCACCATAGTCGTGGAGATTCTGAAGAAAGAATCCTGGCGCTTATATAGTAACGTCAGGTGAAGCAGACGAGGGCAAATTCACTGATTGACGAAGCCTACTGTGCAGGCGAAACGTTACATCAATAAAGATACCCAATTGTTGCATGTGTGTCTGAATCATCAATTTGTAGGTGTTTATATTAACACCTATCAGGTGCTAATATAAACACAGGAAGCCCCACAGTTAGCCTTCTGGTTATGATAGACCTACTAGCCCATGCTAGGCCTACTGACCATGCCAAGCCTATTGCTCATACTGGGTCTACTGGTCCATGCTAGGTAGGCCTTTCTCATGCCCAGCCTTCCTTCCTTTGTCCAAAAAATATGTATATGTCATATTACACCAATCATAACAATGTAAATTATAGTTCCATTAATAGTATTGAATCTAACTGTAATTCACTCAAATAAGAGGAGGAAATAAGAACATAAGAACATAAGAACGAAGGAACACTGCAGCAGGCCTACTGGCCCATGCGAGGCAGGTCCAAGTCTCCTACCAGCTTAAGCCAATGCACCCAAACTAGTCAGGTCATGTTTGAGCAAAGGATGAGGACTAAATCTGCTCCTGCTCCTCAAAACAAGAGCCCTTCACTATGACAAGGAGGGATGCTCCCCTTGTCACAGTATCGTACATTAGTATGTTCAGCCGTACTGTATAAGTATTGTATAAGTAAGAGGCATCATACCTAAGGGATGATCTCACGACACCAGTGTTAAGTCAGCATTAGTGAAATACTCATTTATTTAATTAATCGCATGACATTAAATGATTTTCTTCTACTGACGTTGCAGCTGATCCTGATTTTGGCAGTGGTGATGGCCCTGGCGGCCCTGATGGGATCAACTAGAGCCATGCCTGAACCCTACGCCGTGGCAGACCCCGACCCACAATTTCGTAGATTCGGGGGTTTCCATCGCGGTTTCGGCCACCGTCGTCATTTCTTTGGTTAATGTTTACCAGGGCCTGTTATTCCTCGAGGACAAATCAACCAAGAGCACAGAAGTGTTGTGACCAGAAACAAAACAGGATTAACCCCACTAAAGCTTTATCCGGTAATGACAACTGGGAATACCAATCTGTGAACTGAAAAGAAGGAAGAACGCTAACAAGCTACTGGAGGTATTCCCGTACATCAACCCTTAACATCTAGTACTTTCAACATCTTACATCTTGGAAATCCAGTCCCTTTCAACATGGTTTTTGACTAGTGAGAAATTGGCTGTTAATTGTTTAAAGTATTGAGACATAATGCTTCAGAAATAAATATATTTTTTTGATGCAGTGTTTTACCTCCTATATATACAACACACACACACACACAGAGGGATATATATATATAATATATATATATATAATATATATAATATATATTATATATATATATATCTATATATATACATTATCCACGGCGTTCCAGGCGGGCCGAAAAAGAAAAACTTTCACCATCATTCACTCCATCACTGTCTTGCCAGAAGGGTGCTTTACACTACAGTTTTTAAACTGCAACATTAAAACACACTATATATATATATATATATATATATATATATATATATATATTATATATATATATATATATATAATTATATATATATATATATATATATATATATATATATATATATATCATATATAACTTTATCATCGCCTGTCCGCGATTATTGCATCCCGTCAGATTTAATATATACACATACACAAGTTAACCCACTATGAACTTAGAAACTAAGACATCAGGTTAGAAACTACACAATAAATATAAGTTTACAATCTTTAAAATACAGTATACACAGTCACAGCCACTGGCTGTGACTGTGACCCACATAAGAACATAAGAAAGAAGGAATACTGCAACAGGCCTACTGACCCATGCGGAGCAGGTCCATGTCCCCCCTCTCCCCCAGATTAGCCCAATGACCCACCCAGTCTGGTCACCTCCACTCAAGGAAGGAGCACGGTACCAGACCCAGCAGCACAAGCTAGTCAGGTCCAACTCACACCCACCCACACCCACTCATGTATTTATCTAACCTATTTTTAAAACTACACAACGTTTTAGCCTGAATTAACTGTCTACTCGGGAGTTTGTTCCACTCATCCACAACTCTATTACCAAACCAGTGCTTTCCTATATCCTTTCTGAATCTGAATTTTTCCAACTTGAAACCATTGCTGCGAGTCCTGTCTTGGCTGGAAATTTTCAGCACGCTAATTACATCCCCTTTATTTATCCCTTTTTCCATTTATACCTCGATCATATCCCCCCTAATTCTACGCCTTTCGAGAGAGTGCAGATTCAGGGCCCTCAGTCTATCCTCATACACAGATCATACACACAAACTGAATCTTGTAAGTATAAACGTGCAAATTATTGTATACTCAAACTCTAAATCTTGCAAGCATTTAGTTATCATACAAGGAAGTACTGAAACTGTATGGGCCGTACAAAGCCTGGCTAATGCCGCCAGTGTATAATAATAATAATAATAATAATAATAATAATAATAATAATAATAATAATAATAATAATAATAATAATAATAATAATAATAATAATAATGTGCAAGACAGGTATACAATACCAACAAGATGAGAGTTAAGACACTTGTGCAACATCTGGTTATCTTTATTGTAGACGTTTCGCCATCCAGTGGCTTTATCAATACAGATTCTTGGACATAATTAGAAAACAGAAGAACTATATACAAAAGATGAGGTAATCAGTCCCTCAGCCTTGGAGGTGGTGTTTACAGCACCGTGGTTGTAGAGATTCTGAAGCACAGGTAAGAAGACTGGCGCTTATATAGGCGTCAGTGAATAGGGACGTGTAGCAGACGAGGGCATAGTCACTGGTAGGCGGGATTTCCCAGTGGAAGTAGGTCCTTCCCAAACTGATGGGTTAGTTGCAGAAGCCGTGAAGAAGCCGTGAAGAAGGTCTGCAACTAGCCCATCAATTTGGGAAGGACCTACTTCCACTGGGAAATCCCGCCTACCAGTGACTATGCCCTCGTCTGCTACACGTCCCTATTCACTGACGCCTATACAAGCGCCAGTCTCCTTACCTGTGCTTCAGAATCTCTACAACCACGGTGTTGTAAACACCACCTCCAAGGCTGAGGGACTGATTACCTCATCTTTTGTATATAGTTCTTCTGTTTTCTAATTATGTCCAAGAATCTGTATTGATAAAGCCACTGGATGGCGAAACGTCTACAATAAAGATATCCAGATGTTGCACAAGTGTCTTAACTCTCAATAATGATAATAATAATAATAATAATAATAATAATAATAATAATAATAATAATAATAATAATAATAATAATATAATAATAATAATAATAATAATAATAATAATAATAATACTATTTATAAATACATGAGTGGATGTGGGTGGGTGTGAGTTGGACCTGATAGCTTGTGCTACCAGGTCGGTTGCCGTGTTCCTCCCTTAAGTCAATGTGACCTGACCTGACTGGGTTGGGTGCATTGGCTTAAGCCGGTAGGAGACTTGGACCTGCCTCGCATGGGCCAGTAGACCTGCTGCAGTGTTCCTTCGTTCTTATGTTCTTATGTTTGCTCCCTCTTCTCCATTTATGTTTTTGCTTCCTTTCCCATTTTGTATCCTGTTCTTATTCTGTATTTTTCTATCCCTGTTTTCCATCTTCCACATTACGACTGACAGATTTACACTAAAGCGCTATACTCGTGTGGGTCAGGCACTGAATTTAATCCACACCCGGTAAGAAGAGTAGGAAGATGCTGAGGTCGTCTTGATGAGATGTTACCAGGGTAAGTTTTTAAGATGAGATACTGAGGAGGTGGTGGGGTGAAGACGTGTGAGATGGGGGTGACTTCCGTGCATCTGTACTCGGGCAGCATCCCAGATATTTATCTCAGTGGCATTTAGATTATGTGGATTGGAGGGGAAAATGCTGCGGGTACTGCTGTATATATGGCAGTGGGTACAGTGGGTACAGTTCGTTATTTTTATAAAAATAGCGAACAATTGAAAAAGAAGAAACCATACCATAGGTGGGGATTGAACTCGTGGCGCGTGAGCGAGTAAGGCACTGGGTCAACTGAGCTTAATTCCCGGCCGTGATATGGTTTGTTTGCAATCGTATCATTACGATTTCGTAGGTCAAATAGAAAACTAGGCAGTTGTCATCCCTCCAGGACGACAGTGGGAGCTGCTGGATTCCAGATACTCCCTGTAAAATCAATTACCATACAGAAGCATTCAACAGGGAACCATGAAAGTAAATTTCACAACTGCCAGTGTTTACAACTAATAATAATAATAATAATAATAATATCCTTATTTTACTACAAGTACATGTACAGGGTATACAGTCCTAGCTGATTAGAATGACATACTACTATACAGAAAGTCCCTTGTTATGCTCCGCATTTCGGGCAAATTAGGTCAGTGTCCCAGGATGCGACCCACACCAGTCGACTAACATCCAGGTACCCATTTTACTGATGGGGAACATAGACAACAGGTGGAAAGAAACACGTCCAATGTTTCTACTCTGGCTGGGAATCGAACCCAGGCCCTCACCGTGTGAAGCGAGAGCGTTAACCACCAGGCCACCGTATCCCCTTCCAATAGTAGCTGAGTGGAAAAAAATGGATTTGAAGAGCAGGGAGGAGTGGTACATACAACAGTCAGTAAAAAGTTAGAAACAATGTCACAAAATGCTCGGTTCTCGTTTTCAAAGGAACTGAACTTCAGAGAGACTCCCAAGAGGGGGATACAAACCCACTTTTTGTGATCTTCGATGAAAAAAAATATGCAAATTATGAGGTGCTAAATACGAACTGATGATAATCAGCTCATCGTTGCTGATGTTAATACAGCAAGTGATGTTAATACAGCATGTGATGTTAATACAGCATGTGATGTTAATACAGCAAGTGATGTTAATACAGCAAGTGATGTTAATACAACAAGTGATGTTAATACAGCAAGTGATGTTAATACAGCAAGTGATGTTAATACAGCAAGTGATGTTAATACAGCAAGTGATGTAATACAGCAAGTTATGTTAATACAGCATGTGATGTTAATACAGCAAGTGATGTAATACAGCAAGTTATGTTAATACAGCAAGTGATGTAATACAACAAGTGATGTTAATACAGCAAGTGATGTTAATACAACAAGTGATGTTAATACAACAAGTGATGTTAATACAGCAAGTGATGTTAATACAGCAAGTGATGTTAATACAGCAAGTGATGTTAATACAGCAAGTGTATTAACATCAGAACGAGGGCACAGCAAGATATACTATTTACCTTCCTCGCTAGGAAATATATATAGTGGGAAGTTATGATCCGAAGGATGCTAAGCAATGTTAAGAGAGTCAAGGGAGAGAGTGTACAATCATCGGTAGTATTAAACATAACTCACGATATCGTAATGACACGATTGGGTAGTATTGTGCGACTGTGAATACTTCATCGTTTTGTAGATGTAGGACACGAGAATAAGAGATAAGGTCCCGGAAACGGATGCATACCTAGTGATATTCAAATGAACACGGAGCCACATGAGGGATAACTGGTAGTGAAAGAAGAGATATAAATGCGAAGGAGGCGAGAAGAAAGACTTTATCACAAATCATACCCCCGGCCGGGATTGAACCCGCGGTCATAGAGTCTCAAAACTCCAGCCCGTCGCGTTAGCCACTAAAGACTTTATTACACGGTATCACAAGTTCTCTCACTGATGCCTGTGGTCGTGCAACATTGATGGCAGGAGGACTGGAACGTAAAAACAGGACCTTCGAAAGATGAAACCAACAATCATGGACTGAAGAACAAGTTATAATTAATCAGTAAATGTGTTAGACAGGTTACGTGTTAGCTGCAGCTCCATTGCTTGATTGGCAGCGCACACAGCTCACACACTGAGGTCCGTGGTTCGATCCCCGGTTCGGGTGGCATCAATAACACGTGTTTCCTTAAGAGATCTGCTGTCCCTGTTCACCGATCAGTATAATAGGTACCTGGGTGTTAGTTGACTGGTGTGGGTCACATCTTGGGGACATAACTGACCTAATTTGCCGGAAATGCTCTGTATAACAAGAGACTTTCTATAAATATTATTATTATTATTATTATTATTATTATTATTATTATTATTATTATTATTATTATTATTATTATTATTATTATTATTATTATTATTATTATTATTATTATTATTATTATCATTATTATAGACACGATAGAGCGATACCTGACGAATGCGATGATCAGGTTCCTC